CAGCCGAGCTGGGGGAGCGGAGCCTGGGGGGATGGGAGCGGGACCAGCGACCCGGGAGACAGCGGCACCGCGGCCTCTCCCCACCAGGCGGCCCCGGATCCTACTGGACATCCTGAGGGCGTGCCGACTGCGCCTCTAGAGTCACCCTGCGACCACCCCTCCCCTCTTTAGACTTCTACCCGCCTCGCCTTTACCCTTCCCACCCATTCCTGGGCTCCGGACCGCCGCCCTCTCCTCTGTCTGGAACCGGCCCTTCTCGGCGCCCCTCTTCCCTAGGGAGATGAGATGAGCCGGTGCCCCCGCGCCCTCATTGCCGCCCCGGGCACAGTGCCCATCCTGTGCCCGTGGTGGGGAGGGAGCACCCCGAAGTCCCTCCGTGACGCCCCTCCCGTGGGCGCCCCCGCAGCTGGCGTCCCTGGGCGATGTCCCGGGGGACCCAGCCAGGGGGCGGGCTCTAGAGCGAGGGGGGTGGAGAGGAGAAAGAACCCGGCCTTGGGTGCCTCTGAGATGCTCCCAAGCGCCAGGGGGGGCCGAGCGAGGTGCAAGCAACCGGGCGGCAGGCATGATGCCCTCGCCTAGTGACTCCAGCCGCTCGCTAACCAGCCGGCCCAGCACTCGGGGCCTCACCCACCTCCGCCTCCATCGACCCTGGCTGCAGGCCCTTCTCACGCTGGGGCTGGCCCAGGTTCTCCTGGGTATCCTGGTGGTAACCTTCAGCATGGTGGCCTCCTCCGTCACCACCACTGAGAGCATCAAGAGGTCCTGCCCGTCTTGGGCTGGGTTCTCGGTGAGTTGGGTGCACAGTGGTTGGGTGGGGGAGGCTCCTCGGGCCCCACCCCTCCTCACCAGCTGCAAGCCCACATCCTCGCCTCTCCTCCCTCTCCTGGTCCTTTCCCTCCTTGCAGGGCTGGGTGCATCCTGTGGCGAGGGGCTCACCCAGGTGCCTCCCCTGCCAGGCTGAGCCTGTGCCCACTCTGTCCCCAGCTGGCGTTCTCCGGGGTGGTTGGCATTGTGTCCTGGAAGCGGCCATTCACTCTAGTGGTAGGTGCCAGGGTCCAATGCCCACCGGGAGGCAGGTGCCCAGCACCAGAGGGGATGCCCACTTACGCCCTCAGGAAGGGAATTGGCTCTCCAGTTGGTGCCAGGCAGGGATGAAGTGTCTGTGAAGGAGTGGCTCCATCCATGGTAGAGGGGTACTCATGAAGGTTCTAGACCTGAGTTGGCACTCTTTTTTCCCCAGATCTCCTTCTTCTCCTTGCTTTCGGTGCTCTGTGTCATGCTGAGCATGGCTGGCTCTGTTCTCTCCTGTAAAAATGCTCAGCTGGCCCGGGACTTCCGAGACTGCTCCATGGTGAGATTTGAGGAGGCAGAGCTGGAGAGAACTGATTGGGGGAGGTGTGCAGGATACCTGAGTTTGTCCTGACTCAGGCTGCCTCACCCTCCCCACTCCTACTCAGGAAGGAAAGGTCTGTGTGTGCTGTCCCTCTGATCCCCTACCTCGGCCCTGTCCAGAGTCAGGGCAGGAACTGAAAGTTGCCCCTAACTCCACTTGTGAAGAAGCCCGAGGTGCCCTCAAGGTGAGCATGCACACCACCCTACTCCTCCAGCCCTCGCAGTTCCTTCTTCTACCGTGTTTCTGGGTGTCATTCTTGCCTCCCCCCCTGAGGTTCTCACAGGGCCAGAATAGTTGGGATGTCTAATTTTTCAGTGCCGGGGTTCAAACCCAGGGCCTTGAATATGCTAGGCAAACACTCTTCTCCTGAGCTACCTCCCCAGCCCTGAGAATTTGTGGGATTTACCACGCCCCAAGCCCTCACTCCCCTTCCCCTTTCTCTTCCCTTTCCAGAACCTGCTCTTCAGTGTTTGTGGGCTCACCATTTGTGCCGCCATAATCTGTACTCTCTCTGCTATTGTCTGCTGCATCCAAATCTTCTCTCTGGACCTCGTGCATACGGTGAATGGGGAGCTAGGGCCAGGGCCAGGCAGGCATGGTGGGATCAGGGGCTTGTGAGACCAGGCTAGATGGGACAGTGGCTACAGGTCTAGCTTCTGAGTATTAGGAGCTAGGGATCACTGGGCATGATGATGATTGGAGGTATATTTAGGATGCCAAAGGGAGGGTGAAGGGGACAGATGGGAATGAGTTAAGTACCTGATGCCTATCTGACCAGAAGAGGGGGCTTTAGAGTGCAAGCCTGGGTGGGGTGGAGTCAACAAGGTCCTAGATGGAAATGGGGAAAAATAAAAGACAATTCTGTAGCAGTGGAGAACAGGTGGTGATTCTGGAAATGAGGCCATAAAGAGGAGGAATTTTCGTCAGGCATTCCTGTGGTCCCAGCTAGCTGGGAGGCTGAGGCAGGACGATTGCAAGTTCAAGGCCAGCCTGTGCAACAGCAAGACCTTGTCTCAAAATAAAATAAAAAGGGTTGGAGATCTAGCTTAGCGGTAGAGCACTTGCCTGGTACATGCCAGGCTCTGGGTTCCATAACAATACCATGAAAAAAAAAAAAAATTCTGGGTGGGCAGGGCCAGAGGTGGAGGTTCAGGGTGGGGGCAGGGTTAAGGAAGAGCTTCTCATGGGTAAGGGAGGAGCCTGAAGTGGAGTTTCTTGGAGGGGGCAGGATCATAAAAACAAGGTGGAGAGGAATTCTGGCCAAAGAGGTTATTCCCAAATACTAGGCTCACTGACCTACTTGGCTTGCTCCACAGCAGCTGGCCCCTGAGCGCTCTGTCTCAGGCCCCCTGGGGCCTCTGGCCTGTGCATCCTCGCCTCCAGCCCCTCTCCTACACACCATGCTGGACTTGGAGGAATTTGTACCACCTGTGCCCCCACCGCCCTACTATCCTCCAGAGTATACCTGCAGCTCAGAAACAGATGCACAGAGGTAAGGTCCTGCTGGGAAAATTGAGGAAGGGGTCTTGGGTTGGGCCTGGATTGGTGGGGGAGGGATCTTCATGGAGTAGGAGTTACTTTCCAGGCATTGATCCTCTTCCTTATCCTACCAGCATCACGTACAATGGCTCCATGGACAGTCCAGTACCTTTGTACCCTACTGATTGTCCCCCTTCATATGAGGCCGTCATGGGACTACGAGGAGACAGCCAGGTGAGAGCAGGATTTGGTGCAGTTTAGGAAGCCAAGAACAGAGCCTGGTAAGCTGARCAAGTTGTAGGTGATGGTTAAGGATAATAATAGTTCTCAGGATCATTAAGCACTACCACATCTACTGTCATCTTTGATCTTCCCCAGAGCCTGGTGAGATGGGTAGGTTAGGAACTTGTATTTCTATAGTACAGATGTAGAAAGTGAGACCCACTTCAATTAAGTGACTTGTACAAAGTGACAAAGCTAGTCCAGAATCTACTTCTCCCAKAGCTCTGTCCAGGCATGGAAGAGGCCATGCCAGCATGAGGGGCTGACCCTTGGCCCTTGTGTCTTCTACAGGCTACTCTGTTTGATCCTCAGCTTCATGATGGCTCCTGTATCTGTGAGCGTGTGGCCTCCATTGTAGACGGTGAGCAGAGTCAAGAGGGGTGGGTAGGGGTAGGGTGGCCAAGGACAGCATGGCTGGGTGGGAGCAAAAGGAGGGGACTCTGGCTGAGCTGATGACTTAGGGATAAATGAGGACTGTGGCTTCTCGGAACCCTGGACCTGTCTGTCTCCTCTGAGATAATGCTGGAGGCACAGTGGCCCTTGGAAGGCTGGGCTTGGGAGAAGAGGACTGTCTGCCTGGGCCCGGACACCTGGTGCTATCAGTGCCTCCTGCTGCCCACAGTGTCCATGGACAGTGGGTCTCTGGTGCTGTCAGCCATCGGTGACCTCCCGGGCGGCTCTAGCCCTTCAGAGGACTCGTGCCTGCTGGAGCTGCAGGGCTCCGTGCGCTCCGTCGACTACGTGCTCTTCYGCTCCATCCAGCGCAGCCGCGCGGGCTACTGCCTCAGCCTGGACTGCGGCCTGCGAGGCCCCTTCGAGGACAGCCCCCTGCCTCGGCGGCCCCCACGGGCTGCCCGCTCCTATTCCTGCTCTGCCCCGGAGGCCCCACCCGCCCTGGGTGCCCCAACGACAGCCCGCAGCTGCCACCTGCTGGAGGGCTGGCCACCCTGGGTGGGACCCTGCTTCCCGGAGCTGAGACGACGGGTCCCCCGGGGAGGCAGCCGCCCAGCAGCGGCCCCTCCCACGCGAGCCCCCACTCGCCGCTTCAGCGGTAGCTCAGGTTCCCTCACCCCACCGGGGCACCGGCCTCCTCATCCGGCTCCCCCGCCACCGCTGCTGCTGCTGCCACGGTCCCACAGCGACCCGGGCATCACCACCTCCAGCGACACTGGTGAGCCTTCCCTTCCAACTCTGCCATTGAGGGGAGGATAGGCACTGGGATTCCAAGGTCAATTATGCCCATCAGGACTTGGGACCTTTTGAGGTCCCTGCGGAAAAAGAAAGGACGCTCTTGCAATACTCCCCCCACTCCCAGGCATGCTTTACCACTGAGCTACACCCCCGGCCCTTTTATCTAATTTTGAGACAGAGTCTCACTAAATTGCCTAAGCTGGCCTTGAATCTGTGACCCTCCTGCCTCAACCTCCCAAGTGGTGGGATCACAGTGGGTAGGCCAGCTGCAGTACGCTCTGGTACTCCCTCCCCAGGGACAAAGCTTCCACAGATTCTTGGCTAAAGTGGAGGCCCTTATTTTTTCCCTCTCAGTAGTGGGGATCCAGCCCAGGGCCTCACACTCACCAGCAAGCACACTACCACACAGCTACACCCCAGCATTTGACTTTTTTTTTTTTTTTTCGTACTGGGGATTGATCCCAGGAGCATTTTGTTTCTGAGCTGCATTCCCAGCCCCTTTTATTTGGAAATCGGGTCTTGCTTAATCACCAAGGCTAGTCTGGGGCTTTTGATCCTCCTGCCTCAGCTTTCCCAGTAGCTGATATTACAGGGAACATTATGCCACCACACCCAGCTGGTGCTTGTTTTTGTTGTTGTTTTTAAATCTCCCTGAAGGGGGTGCACCATTCCTAGAGGGACTGCAATACCGGGTCGATGTGCAGAGTGGACAGAGCAAGCTCCTCTTCCATCTCCGACTCCCCAAATCCATTTACTATATCATCCTCAAGTAGAGGACATATCAGGTAGTAAGCTGACAGGAACCATACTACACTTGGTCTTAGCCAAAAAGCAGAGAATCAATGACTAGTTCCATGGTTCCCAAGTTTGGGCTGCTTACCTAATCTCTACAAACCTCAGTTTCTCACCTGTAAAACAGGTGTGATCACAGTATCTCAACCAGAAGTGCTATGGAGTGGCTGAGAAAGGAGACAGAGGAAGTGGCCTATGGCCACACCACACTGATCTGGGAAGCTCAGCAGGACTAGGCCTAGTTAGTACTCAGAAGGCAGATGATGCAGATGAACAGCACTAGTTCAGGAATGACTCTGCTATGAGGTGCTGCAGCCTCAAATGACAACACTGTCATCCGGTCTTTGTGCACCGTCCCATCTAGTTTCTGGCAGAAGTGGGCAGAGATGATGATCTCTTGATTGGAGATGGAGATAGGAGCCATTCAAGCTCTCTGGGCTCCAGTTCTCAAAGGAGTGGAGAAGTGGTGGGTGTATCCTCAGAGCGCTCTCATTTACTCCTTGTTCCTCCCCCAGCTGACTTCAGGGACCTTTATACCAAAGTGCTTGAGGAAGAAGCTGCCTCTGTTTCCTCTGCAGATACAGGGCTCTGCTCTGAAGCCTGCCTCTTCCGCCTCGCCCGCTGCCCTTCCCCCAAGTTGCTGCGTGCCCGCTCAGCTGAGAAACGGCGCCCTGTGCCCACCTTCCAGAAGGTCCCCCTCCCCTCAGGCCCTGCACCTGCTCACTCTCTGGGAGACCTAAAAGGAAGCTGGCCAGGCCGGGGCCTGGTCACTCGTTTCCTCCAGATGTCCAGGAAATCCCCAGACCCCACGGGCACTGGAGCTCATGRACATAAGCAGGTGCCCAGGAGCCCATGGGGCCGGCCAGGCCGAGAAAGCCTCCACCTCCGCAGCTGTGGTGACCTGAGCTCTGGCTCCTCTCTGCGGCGCCTCCTGTCTGGCCGGAGGCTGGAGCGTGGGACGCGCCCCCACAGCCTCAGCCTCAACGGGGGCAGCAGGGAGACTGGGCTCTGACCTGGGTTTCCTGTTACACTGAACAGATCCAGATGAATACTGGGGCCACAGGTACCAGCTGGTCAGGACCAGCAGCCCCCAGCACCCTCTTGCATTGGCTGGCGCACACACACACACACAATAAAAAACCAAAAACCCGCTATATATCCCCAGAAGTGTCTCTTTCCTTCTGCCTTTGGGGCTCTGCTGCTTGCCTCTGCCCCTTTGGACTGGGAGAGCTTCTGTCCTGTGCTGCATGGGTATTCAGGCTGTCAGGGGGATGCCCCTGCTTACAGCATCGGAGGAGGAAAATTAATACACTCCCTCCAGCTCAAGAGTGACTGATTCTCAGGGGCACTCTGTCAGGGAAAAAATGTGTCCTGGGTGTTTAGGTGGAGGGGAMTYTGTGCCTGTGTGATGGGGTGATGAGGTGGGCAACGAAGAGCCAGAAATCTAGGTGACCTCTCAGCTCTGCCACCTCTAGCTGCATGACCTTGGGCAAGTTACTTAACCTCAATTGCCTGATCCATAAGACATTGTGAAGATGAATGTTTGTAAAGCTCTTAACACACAAAGTAAGCCTTCAATAAATTTCAATTTCCCTCTTCTCTCTTGGACCTTTTTTCTTTTTTTTAAGATAGGATAGGATCTTGTAAGTTGCTGAGGCTGGCAACCAACTGGTAACTCTCCTGCCCACTCTCTGGAGTAGCAGGCATTCTAGCCACTTGCGGTGCCCCTGTGCCCATCTTTTCCTAGACTTCTCTAATCATCAGTGAAACTTAGCCTTGAATTTTCTTAAATATGAGATATTAGGACATTTCCAGAAACCACATTGTATCTCTGCTCATTTTGATAGCAAAAGGGTTTTTTTTTTTTTTTTCCTTTTTATGTACTAGGGATTGAAACCAGGGAGCTTAACCACTGAGCTACGAGCCCAGCCCTTTTAATTTTTTAAAAGTTTGAGGCAGGCCAGGTGTGTTGGACCATGCCTGTAATCCCAGTGGCTGGAGACAAGAGAATCGTGAGTTCAAAGGGAGTCTCAGCAACAGTGAGGCGCTTAGCAACTCAGTGAGACCCTGTCTCTAAATAAAATACAAAATAGAGCTGGGGATGTGGCTCAGAAATTGAGGGCCCTGAGACAGGGGCTTGCTAAGTTGCTGAGGCTGACCTCAGACTTGGAATCTTCCTGCCTCAGGCTCCCGAGTTGATGGGATTACAGGCTTGTGCTTCATGCCCAGCACCAAAAGTGTTTCTGTTTTACTTGTTCCCATTCAAACATCCATTCTCCCTATCTACTTCCAGAAGGCTGCTTTCCCTACCTCTCTCCAGCTACTGTTCCCTGCTTACCCCACACCGTACGGGGCATGGACTAGGAGGGCTTTATCACTGAGCTCCAGCCCCAGCCCCGGCCTTTTTTATTTTTTATGTCTTTTTTGTTACTGGGGATTGAACTCACAGATACTTTGCCATCCCTAGTTCTTTCTATTTATTAATTTATTTTGAGATGATCTTGCTAAATTGCTGAGGCTGTTCTTGAACTTGGGGATCCTCCTGCTTCAGCTTCTTGAGCAGCTGGGATTACAGGTAGGTGCCACTGGACCAATCTTAGCCACTGCTCTTGACAAAGTTTTCATCAATCATTTCTCTGCCTCTTTAAGCAGCAATTAACCCAAATAATCAGCATTTTTTCTTCTAGAAATTTTCCCTTTTTTGACTTTGAAAACATCACATTCTCCTATTTTTCCTCCTACTTTACCAGCTTTTATACCTCTGCTGGACTGATTCTACCTCCCTCTTTCTGTAAATTCCCCTATTAAGGTCCATGTCATGTTAAAGTGTAACTCTAGCTTTGACCTCTCTGTGAGCTCCTACCTCCAACATGACATCTCTGGCTTGAGCACAACAGAATTTGGGGTACCCACCCCACCACTTGCTCTTCTACTATTTCCATCTCAATAAACTGCACCACTATTGCCCAAATGCACATTCCTAAGGAATCATCCTGACTTCCCTCACTCAACACACCAATCCTATCCCAAATTCTTCAAAGTCTCACTATCTCTCCAGCTACCTAGTTCAGGCCACAACCACTTCTGAATCAATCTATTTCCACTCTTTATCAAAGTGACAATAAATCACGTCACATCAAAGCTCTTCCTATATCTACTGGCTTCCCATTGTATTTATAGTAATCTCCAAATTCTTTACTGAGACTGTGGTCAAGCACAACTGGTCCCACTCTCTGCTTCAGTCAAAATGCCTCCAAGGACCAGGAACCTTTTCTTTCCCCAGCATGAAATGCTCAACGCTGTGTCTGCAGCCTCACCTAATTCAAGTCCTATCTCCACTCACCTTCTCAGTGAGCACACCATCCCAATCTAGTTGGTAATCATTTTGCTATTGCTTTTTTGTGCTGGGGATTGAACCCAGGGCCTCAACCATGGGAGTCAAAACTCCACCAGAGTTATACCCTCAGCCCTGCCATCTTGTTTTGAGCATAAGATTTATCATTTAAATTATCTTGTAAAAATACTAATCTCTATGTTATGGAATGAAGTGTTGCTGGATTCTAGAAATGAAAATAAAGCCAATATGTCTTTAAAATGAAATAAAACTATCTTTTTTGTTAATATGTTTGTGTCCTCCCATAGAATATTAACTCCCAGCCAAGCTTGGTGATCTGCACCTGTAAGGATAACAACTAGGGAGGCAGAGGCAGGAGTACCACAGATTCAATGATAGCCTCAGCAAGTTGGCGAGATGGTGTCTCAAAATTAGAAGTATAGGACTGGGGACATAGCTCAGCTGGTAGAGTGCTTGCCCCGCATGCACAAGGCCCTGGGTTCAATCCCCAGCACCACAAAACAATAAAAATAAATAAAGAGAGAAAGAAAGTAAAAAGGACTGGGGATGTAGCTCAGCTGTAGAGCAACCCTGAGTTCCATCACCAGTACCATAAATAAATAAATAAATAAATAAATAAGAATATAAATGCTCAAGAGCAGAGCTTGCTCATTGCATGGAGTCCAACACATAGTAGGTCTGCAACAAACACTCCTTAAATTACTAAAGTGGCGCAATCGGAGGCCCTGTAGACAGCTTCAGCACACTGATGGTGGGGGCCACACTGTGCCCTCTAGGAAGGGGAAGGAGGATGGAGCGACACTACCCAGAGATGGCGTCAGACTGCAAGGCTTCTTGAATAATTCACCGTCATAACAATACAGCCTCCGTAAGGGTTGAAGCACGGCCAGCACAAAATGAGGCAGGAGGAGGTGGACACTGGGGTTCTCGCAGCTTCAGGGTACTGAATGTTCTCCACCCTCGGGCTCCCTAAGGAGTAAACTCAGGAAACCTTGCTCAGCTCGGACGAAGGGGATTCGGTGCGAATTCAACCCGCCCCACCCTTGACCCGCCGGTCGGCTGGTGGACGTCGCGCGCCTGCGTGGAGCTCCCTTCCGCGCACTCATTCCTACGATGTAAATCATGAATACCCTTGCGCTGTATCTGGACCACGGTTGATCAGTGCAAACTGTCCATCCCAAGGACAAACCAATGAAAAGTGGGGACGGGCTCTGGGTCCGCCTCCGGGGGAACGCCCATCCCCTTTCGGAACAGGCCCCGCCCCGCCCGCCGGGTAGTCTCGCGACTGCGCGTCCCGTTGGCGTCTGCAGGCTGCAGTGGGCTTTCCCTCGGCCTCCGGTTGGGGCTGCTGTTTCGCCTTGCGAACAACAGATGTTGCATCCTTAGAGTTTTAACTGCCCTTCTTGCGTTTGAACCTAACCTTTTCATCATGATTGTTATTATTTTTGGGGGACCTTTATTTTATTCATTTACTTTTACGTGGTGCAGAGGATCTAACCCACGGCCTCACACGTGCTAGGCGAGCGCTCTTCCACTGAGCCCCAGCCTCAGCCCATCACTGTTATTATTAATTGTAGAGATAGTTGTTTTTTATAAATAAAGAAGAGATGAGGGGGGCTGGGGCAGTGGTAGAGAGCTTGCCTAGCACGTGTGAGGCCCTGGGTACGATCCTCAGCACCACATAAAAATAAATAAAT